GAATGAATGAATGAATGAATGAATGAATGAATGAATAAACCTTCCATGACATTCCAGAAACCTGCTGATCACAGGGGAGCAAACCGGCATCTGACAAATACTAATCCTATGCTGATAAATTCTCAACTTGTCAGAAATTTAGCTTCCTTTCAATAATGTGTTGTTTTTTTTTTAAAAGGGGCCCCCGTACATTTGTACCTTCAGTGTACTTACCCCTGTTATGTGGGGGTTGGGATCAAAGCCGCATAAACTGCAGACTAGAGTTTGACACTGGGTGCAGGTGTTGTAGTTGGCCTCCTCGGGGACGTCCAGGAGGAGCTCAGTGTTTGTGCAAAGCGGGCAGAACGTTTTCTTTCTGGCTTGTAATCCAGGTTGTGAGGGAGTCCCAGGCTGGGAAGGTTGGGGAGGCCCAGGCAGGGGAGGGCCAGGCTTCGTGGCCTGCTGGGCGGGAGGCTTTGCGGGGGGCTGCCGGGGGGGCTGTTTTCCAGGGGCTCCAGGCGGGGGAAGGGCTGCTTTCGCGGGGCCAGCCGAACGTTGCAACGGCTGCTGGCTGGAGGCTGCTGGCTCGGCCTTTGCAGGGCCCTCCGGCTGCTGCTGGGCCTTCTGCTTGGAAGGAGGCGCCCCCTGCTGCAGTGCTGGCTTTTTGAGAGCGGGGGATTGGGGGGCCGTTTTAGCAAGGCCCACACTAGCCGCCTTTTCAGCTCCCGACTGTTGTGGGGAAGGTTTTGCGGGTCTCGTAGGTTCTTGTTTTGGGACGGAGGAGGGAGAGGTGGCTGGTTCTGGAGGATGCTTTGCTCCTTCTGTCGCTTGGCCAGAGCCCGGCCTCTGCCTTTGCTTAGGCACCCCAGGTTGCAGCTGCTGCTGCTGCTGCAGAGCCTGCGTGGGAGGCCCTGCCTTTTGGGGGGCCGGCTTGACGGGCCCATGATGTGGACTGCTTGGCTTGGGAGCTGAATGCTGCAGGGGCTGCCTGGAGAGCCCCTCCTGTTGCTCAGGTCTCCCCTGGTCCCTTTGGGTGGGCTTCCCTTTCTTGGAGCCTTCGTTCTGGTTTGTATCCGAGTCAGATATCAAATCAAAAGGACTGAATTTATTGACAACGGATGTGACTGCGCCAAATGGGTTGGCATCCGAGAGAAAGCTGGGCATCATAGTTGGCTTCTGGTCATCTTTTAAATCAGCCTTCGATGTAGATTCCCTCAAACTCATGGACGATGGGCTTCTTCCAGGGACCTGTTGCTCTGTTTTCAGGGTATCGACTGTTTTGCTTTTACTTAGCGTAGGGAGCCCGTGATCTGGTGGCTTGCCCTGAGGATCTGGAGGCTTGCCCAGTTGCTTTGGGTGATCACTGCCATCCGGTGGAGCAGGTCTGTAAAGGTATCACGATATAAGCAAAGTTAACCCAATGCAATGACCTCTGAACATTAGAAACCAAAACAAGAAAACGAATTCAATGTTTTAATTTAAGTAAAGATGTCCTTCTCCTTTCTTATCTTTCACACCCAGAGGCCATTTTCCAAATTCAGAGTATAGGTGAGAGGTGACAGGTGGGTGATGCAAAATTATATATGACATTTCCCGCTGGGGCTGATGAATTTTATTAGCGGTGGTTGTTATATTGTTATATTGTCTATATTTCTGACTTTCACTATAGTTCAAAGTTCAAAGTTTAATGAATTTATATGCCACCCAATCTCGAAGGACTCCGGGCGGCTTACATAAAAACAATTTTAAAAGAATACTAAAAAATTTAAAATAGAGAGACAAGGCAAGTTAAAAAGACACAACATGCACTCAACCTTAGTGGGGCTGGACCTCATTCAAGAGGTCAACAGCCCCAGGCCTGCCGGAATAGCCAGGTCTTAGTAGACTTTCGGAAGGCCGAAAGAGTGGGGAGGGTGGTTCAAACCAGCAGAGATGCAGCC